ACATTGAGAGATGATTACAAGTATCTTGTTTTTGACAACTATTTAAAAGATGACATTCGTTCTCAACATTCACAAATGGAACAACACTTATAAATATAGTAGTGATATGCATGTCGTGCTCTAAACATGCAGTGGCGGACCCAGCACCCGGCCAGGGGGGGCGGCCGCCCGTGCTGGGATCTGCCGGATGAATTTTTGGGAAGAAGAATAGAAGATGGCGCCGCTGTTGTGCAAGTTCGTCTTCTCCGACTGCTGGTTTCTTATCCCTTTTCTTTTCCTTTTTTTAATGTGTTGGGCCATTTATTCTTGGGCCCAATACTCTATATATACACATTCCAGCCCAGCAAATGCATTTGGTCTCATTTCCTCTTCAGCCTTCTAGATCAAGAGACGACACAGCTACGCCTCACGCTTGCCGTGCCGTCGCTGCCGAGATCCGCCACAGCCCAGCCGTCTTTTCCACCACCACCGAACACCAGTTTGAACGCTGCTTCGAAATGAGATTTGGATGGTAAACATGTAAACAAATCCCAAAAATGCTACCCATTATTTAATTTTCCAGTAGCTGTATTTTTTTCTATTTCTTTTTTGTATTCAGCTGTAATTGTGAAGTGGGTTCACCTCTTTTTAGCTCGTCCAGTACGGCCCCTCAATCCTCTTTCTCCATATACGAGTTTACAGCATTTGCAATGGCAAGCCTGCCACTGTTGCAAACTTTATTCACATATTTTTAAAGAAAGAAAATGACTCATCCATGTTTCTCTCGTACTTTGATAATAATGGCATCCAAGCCCATTTGTATTTCCTAAGCAGAATAAAAATTCTGAATTCAAAACTCACGGCGATAAAAGCGAGAATATGATATGTGGATGAATTCATATGGGAGGGGGTCACATGGGTTACTCATGGCTGCTTGTGAAATTAAATTTGGAATTTGGAATCGGATTTGGATTTGGAATTGAAGGAAAATAAAATTGGAATTGGAATTGGAATTGGATTTAGATTTAGGATTTGGAATTGGAGGAAAATAAAATTGGAATTGGAATCGAAATTGGAATTTGGGGAATTGGAAATTTGGATATATATAATTTTTAAGTTTTAGAGTGTGTACATATATATTGAACAATTTTTAATAATATATAATTAAATATTAATAAACGACATCGCTTTTACGATCGTTGATTACCTAGCCGCCCTTTTTAGATTATTTTTTTTACTTGTCTGAAATAAAATAAAGAAACTTAAAAAGAATTTTACTGCTGGCTGCCTGAACACCAGAGAATCTAGTATGGTCTGTCTCTTCGGACGAGCTGATCCACAACACGGCTCATGTCGCCCTTGGCCTGAGCCGAACAAGGGTCACGTCATTTCGCGTTTGGCTGGCACAACCCTTTAGTTGCTCTTTTTCGTGTGATCTCTATCAGGCCATTCTGGCTTTGTTGTTGTGAGTGTGACGTCGTGTTCTTTTCTTTGACTTAATTTCATTTTTGATCACTCAACTTTATGAAAATTTCAATTGTGTCGTTCATCTTCAATTTGTCACAATCAAATTACTTAATTTAGTCACTTAGGTAGTCGTGTTAGTGATAATGAGTTTAATTATTGCTACTGCTCCATTATGAAACGCTAATGGGAGTTGTGCTATAAACTCGATTGTATAAGCCTAATCCAAGAAATCACTACAACAATGGTCGACAACTCACTCGAACTTGATGTAACTCAAACTTGGCAAAGTTACTAAGGTAGTCAAGTCTCGAGTATGGATCAGATATGTTTTCTGTGATGTTGGATGAGCGTTGTCAAGAATGTCAAGTATTGAGTAAAAATTAACCGTGCCATGCAATTAGTGTAGCTAAACATGTAGGTCGACATTGAGAGATGATTACAAGTATCTCTTTTTTGACAACTATTTAAAAGATGACATTCGTTCTCGACATTCACAAATGGAACAACACTTATAAATATAGTAGTGATATGCATGTCGTGCTCTAAACATGCTTCACACATTTGGGGGTGGGGTCACAATTTTTTTTAAATTCAGAGGTGGGCCTCGCTACAGTTGTCGTGCTCTATACATGCTTCACACTTTTGGGGGTGGGGCCACAATTTTTTTTATATTCAGAGGGGGGCCTCGCTACAGTGAGGGGGTCTTGTGAAAAATTCCATGTACTTGGGAATTACTCTATAAATAGAGACTCTTTCAAGCGGTATCAACTCTTCGGCATTCTGGTGAAATTCTGTGGAAATCATTCGGGACATTGGGGATAGGTGAAAGAGTAAACCAGAAAAATATGAAACGCCTTCCCGCCTTGTCGCTTTCTCGATAAATTCCTTAAATTTTAATGGAAGACCATCTCAAATTGCAATAATCTCAAATTATCTCAATCGTCAACAGATTTTACGTAGAAGATTCTGGTAGGTTTTCTCACTTCATTGAAATGCCGCCTGGTGCTTTGTTGGTAATGACGCAATGTTAGTAAATTTGGTTCTATTTATATATATGTTGCTTATGCCTTTGATTCTTCTTTCTGTGCATAGAATTTGACGCCGAACGAAAATGCGAAAGCAAGGTACTGTTTCTGCTGAACGTTGTACAACAACCTCGATTTTGTGCCTAGATCACTAACAGCAATCGTTTTGGGTTTCTTGATTATGTATGTGTAGTTTTGGATGTTAGATCTAGTGGCTTTTGTTAATTAATGTTTTTCGTCGGTTTTTTTGATTTTTTAATTAAATTTCTCGAGGAAGTATTTAGAAAGATTTTAACCCAGATCCGGGGTGGTGTTTTGTGAAACTTGAATTTGACGAAAGTCTAGTTATTAATTTAATTTTTTTCTTGTTTTAAAGCTCAGTACGTTGTTTACTGGTCATTAACATCAACCTGATAAAAGTTCAGATCTTAGAATAATTATTTCTATTTTACTATGCTTTGTACTTGATTATTTAGTATGTTTCCAAATTCACAATGGTTTATGTTAGCGCACATGGATAATTAATGGATAAAAGTAGTGAATATCGTGTCTGTTGACCACGTGTTCATTTACGTTGGGTTTTGGTATGTTTAATTGTGTTGTCAACAAAAAAATAGTATTCTAGGAGTTCTTTGGTATAAGTGCTGCAGTCCGTTAGCACTGTTGCAGGACAATATTGTCTTAAGGAAAAAGTGTTTTTACTGGCCTCGGATTTCGCTTTCCTTTTATTTTCTTTTTCTTACTTTCTTTCTTTGTAGTTTAATTATGCTCCTACGAATGAAGCTAGTATAATTCTTTGTCTAAACAACCATTTACATATTTTACCGCACATCCACCGGCAGAATAAACCATGTAGTCGAGTGAATAAAGAAGGGTTCATGTAGCTAACCAAAATTTTATGGGGAATAGGTTTAGTTAGTTGTTTTTGTATCTTCGTAATAAAAATCATAAACCAACTTGAAAATGCATCATAAAATAATTATTAGGAAAGCAGAAGAAAAAACATATATACTAACAATGAAAGAAAAGATTGAAGTTATATGTTTTAGGTTTCGTCACTAGCCATTTGTCGCTGGAAGTTGCAACTTTAATTGGGAGAGAGGTTTGTGGCACTTAAACTATAGGAGGCTAGCACACACTTGCTTTGCATGCTCTCTTCCCTAATTCTTCTTAATTTTTTTTTTTCTTTTCTTAGTTTTCAAGTTTGAGCTGTGACTTGTGAAGAAACTCAAAAACCCTAGGCTACCGAAATCTAGTCGAAAAAGTCGACGTAATTAATAAACAACAAGTAAAGGAGAGCGCACACCTCAACCGCCCTGAGGCTTATGCATCAAAGCATGTGCTGCCTTGACAAATGGCATCAAGTTGCTAGTTTCGAGAGCCGCACGTAAGGTGTGCATCGAGACATTATTCTCAAATGCTTTTTTAAGAAAAAGGTAGTTGCAAACATATAACACGATTTTTCAAAAAACGAGTGATATGGAATACATGGTCCTTTTTAAACATTGATTTGATGTGACTTCATTGCCGAGTCAATACTTCTCTCTCGCTACATGACTATTTGAAAGCTTATGCTGTGTATTGTCTTCATCTTGCCAAAAGTTACTAATAAAATATATAAGTTTCCTTTATTTTCATGATATGATATCTCATTTCGTCAAAGGTTCTGCTATCCCCATAAGAAAAGTAATGCTATTGGACAATTACAAATGCCATTCATAACCTTAAAAGGCGTTAAATTCATATCACAAAGAAGACAAATATATTGTTAAGCAAGACTGACTGAGACTGTAACAGTTTCATAATGAGTTTATTATGTACTTAAACAATTAAAGTTAATAGATTTTTACAGTCTTTATGCTCAGATATGATTCCTAGCATTTGAAAAGATTTGGCATAGAGCGGACAGTATGTACCTGTACTTTATAATTATTATATACGTGGAATATCAATATTTTTGTTAACAGATTTGATAGCTTGGGAACTTAAGAATAAAATATGATTTTGTTGCCCATTCTTTTTGAAATTTCGTATTTGACCTTTTATGACAATTGGTGTTTTGAATAAATCATGCTCCTCCAATAAACATTCCAACTGTTGTAAATAATAGGTGTAGTTTCAATTAGATATTTTGTCAGGTCTTACTGTGAATTTGTATCCATGAATTATTACTCACGTGCAATTTACAGATAAATTCTACCTATATCACTTCAGGGTCTGAGATAAAATAACAGCTTCCAGTGTTTCTTTTGGAATATTAAAATGTTTTTCTACGACTCATTTGCTGACTCTATACTAATAAGGGGAAACGTTATTTTGAAATTGTCAGCTCCTATTTTTTCTGTGTGATGATGGTTCCTATCTTGAATTTACTGTGAACATTATCAGATTGTTTACAAATTGACTTGTGCTTTGTTGCAGTGCATTGTTTCAGCTTCGATATCCTTGTCCTTATAATTAGGATCATCCACCATCACTAACTTATGTTTTTGCTATTTATAGAATTCCTTCATCAGTGGACCAGGATTGATGTACCTCTCTTATTTTCTTAAATTCACTTTTTCTTCTCATTCTTCAGATTTTGACTTCTTATTTACCGGTGCAATCATTTGGGTCAAATATGGAAATATGACTTTCAATTTGAAAATAGGTGGTCCTCTTTCTGATATATAGTTCGTCATTGTACTTTTCTTAATATTTCTTTTGTTGTTTCTGGACCTGATATTTGCAATTTTGTTACAGGGGATAAGAAGATGAAGAACAAGGTAAATTTTGCATATACAGATGGTCTGACAAGTCCATGCAAAATGTCAAAACGAGCTGCTTCCTGCTCAGATTTCAAGAAAAAATCTCTTCATATATCCAACAAGTCTTCAGTAATTGAAACGAAAAAGAATTTTCATGTGTAGGAAGAGATTGGTTCTTTTCGTCTTCTATATGGCTGACCATATAGAAGACTTACAGATTTCATCTTTCATGATGCAGATGGGAAACAACTGCCTTTTGACACTGGAAGTTGGTAATTTTATGTCTCTGGTTTAATCTTGTCTCTAGAGTATAGTGCTAATAAAGAAAAAGCAAGGGGGTTAGATGTGATGGCTTTGGACGCATAGAAGAATGGGCTATCTCTGGATATGAAGCATATCCAGTTATATGGCTGTTGACTGACATTATAGATTATGATTGTATTAAACCCTCGAGTAGTTAAAAATGTTCTTTGCTCACTAGTGCTTGTGTTGAGGTTTACAAAAACTAACATCATCTTCTGGAGGAAATCCTGACTTATTTGGACGAGCTGCTTGCTACTGTTTTCCGTGCATTAAGTGGGCAGAAATGCTTATATAATGTTGGGTCAATCAAGAATTTTATACTTTCTCAGGGCGGGTTCATTTATAAGCAGTTCATCTATTTGGATGAGACATCAAAGAAGAGTGAAAATAAATTTACGGAACTACATGTCCTTGCTGCACTTTGAGATGACAGTTGCAGGCAAGAAGATCTTACACAAGCTCAGCTTAGATCCTCATTAGAAATTGGTCCTGAAATAAGTGACGGAAAACAAAATGATTCAATCTGGTTTATCAAATTGTCCAGCGGAGCAGGATTAAGATTTAAAGCTGGCAGGATTGTTGAATGAAGAAGAGTACAGGAGCTCATTTAAGCAGGAGAAAAACAAGGATTCAGCTTCCTTGTCAAGAATATATTACATTAAGATTAAATTGCAGATTACTATCCATTGCCTGTCTGTTTTAAAAATTCTAAGCAAGAAACAGATATGTAATCTTTGATAGTGGCATTTATAATTGTTATGTAGATGACTTTCCTCGAAGCATGCATCACAACTGGGCATTGTATGACTCTGCTCGTGGATGATTTCCCTGGAGCTCCTTCCAATGAAGCCGATGATGGATCTGAGTACATTTTTGACAACAATAACAATCATTCATCTTCAAGTGGTTCTGGGACATCTGAAGTTGATGGAATAGCGATTTATTTGAGTGGCATAAAAGAATGGATGATTGAGTTTGGATCCTCAATGGTTTTCATTTCAATGTGCACAGATATGGCCTGGTACATGCCTCACAATGTTTTTTTTTTTTTAAAATCAAATGCACAGTTATTTTCTTTAGATGCTGTCTACAATTGTCCTCCTAGAACCTCTTTCGTCTTTCTGATTGATATGTAGGTTGATTTTATGTTGAGATTTCTCAGCTTGTAAAAAAATATGGTCTGCAACACAGATAACCAGTCCTGCCAATCTTGTGAAATGCTTGTGCATCAAGGAAATGTCTTAGAGAAAGCAAAAGCCAACGTCTTCAATTATCTATGAATACTAACTAGTGTTGTTAATAGCTCAAGAACTACTGAACTGTGATTGATTAGGACATTAGGTTATGGTTTTTCTTGATGATAGCCACGTTAATAGAAGCTTCTCACAACTCCCATGACTAATTGGTGTCATCTATTGTAATTTGTTTTCAGGTACATGCTTGGGAAGCCAGCAAAGCAAATTTTTCCCAGAGAAGTCATAGGCATACTCTTCATATATTAGAAAGGTAAGTTTTACACTCTATATAGCACGGACACGTGTCGGACACCATCACTCATTGGATACTCTAGGACGCTTGTTGACACACAACTTGACATCTCTTATTGTATATAATATTTTATGTTTCTGACATTTACCAGTCATGCCTAGCGCACAAATCTAACATGCCTTGTGCACATGTGTGGTACGCCTTGTGCACGTTATAACTCTGACATGAGGAAATGTTCTCAACACATCTTATACTATATTAAAGGAGGATAGCTCTGCAACAGCGTTCCCGCCTAATTTTCAGCCAAGGATGGGAAAAAAAATAAAGAAAAGAAAAGAAAGAAAAAAATATCCCGCCCAAGAATCTTCAAATAATCCCGCCTTATCCTTCAAAATCTTCCACACCATTGATAATTTTTAAAATAATCTCGCCTTAGCCTTCAAATTTTTTTCTTCTCTGGCCAAATCTATGCACATTGAGAATTAAATAATTAAGAACTTGTCTTTAAATAGTAACGATGTTTTCTCTTCTTAGGCAAAATCAGTGCACCATTGATAATTTTTAAAATATTCCCAATACCTTCAGCTCCTGATTCATTCTGTTTTGGAAATTTTTTGTGAATATTCCAGTGAGATCATATTATCTTACGGTGGTCTGCACGTTTTATTTGCGGGACAAAAAATTGGTGAAGGAATAGGTAGAACAAGAAGGGAAGCACAGAATGAGGCTGCTCAGGGATCTCTTATGAACTTGGCTGGTAAGATATTAATTATAGTCTTCTTGATAGTTGAATATACATTTAGCTACTGTACATAGCTTGACTATTTTCTGTATCGCAGTTCAATCTCTTTTGCTTTCATTCACTTGCCTTGAGCAAAAAAAAAAAAAGAAGTAAAACAATGCTAGCAACGACATTTCACATTACTAGCACATTACTTTTGATTTTACTTGATAAAATTTCACTTTATCTAGCACAACGAGTAATGAGGTCATGGTTTACACAAAAGTTCTACCTTCTCATTGCAATTTCATATATATATTTATGTGAAATTGCTTGAGAACTTAGCTGGTTCTCTGCCTTTGAAACTTGAGATTTGGCATGTTCCCTTTCTCATCCTGATTTACTTATATTTGTTTTTTTCTTTCCTTTTGGTGGAGGTTGGGATGTGGTGATTTCAGCTGGGAGCCAGCTCCGTGCTGCACGGAGCTGCGCAGNAAATTACTTGCTGCCAATATTAGGAGACCTGATTAATATAGTAGTTTAAATGAACATAAGACTTCTTTATGGAGCTGTAATTGAATTATAATTAAGAGACTTCACATTCCGGAAATCACAATCTCTGCAATTTGCCGCGTTGCAGTAAGTGCCTCTATCTACTTACAGTTCAGTTTATCACCATTTCGATTTTTTATGTTATACGTCCTTGATCAAATTGGATTCTGGGTAGCTTGATGTTGAGAATTTGGAAGCTATTTATTTTGGTTTAAATGTTTGACATGTCATCTAACGTGTCTCAAATTTTGTGTTAAATCATAATTTTAACATACACATCTTTGACATTTCTATGAAACTCGAATGAGATAATGCCTTTTGTATTAATTCAAGAAGTTAAAGGTGCTACTGGTCACTGAATTTTATCTTGGAAGAGTAATTAACAAGTTGTGATTTCAGATAATTTCATTTCGAATGATATTAGTTTTTATTATTTGTCTTGACTCTTCACTCTGGGTTTCAATAAGAATAGAGCAACACCAGCAAGAATGTATAATAATTAAAAAAAAAATCGATGCAGACACGGGCGTGTCTTCGTTCTAGACGGAGACACGAATTTTTTTTAAACCACCCTAACCCACAGTTTACTTTTGCACCATCCTCACGTGTATTTTCTTTCGTTTATCTGTTTTGCATATAATTAGTTATGTGGTGTGTATATTTTTATTTAAAATTATTTTATGCAGTGTTTTATCTAATTGGATTGGATAGCATATGTTTAGGCCCTGTTTGGTCCACATTATTTTTTTCATTCTCATTTTTCTACTCATTTTCAACCACACATTTTTCAATAAAATAATATTTTTTATCACATCAAGAACTTTTATTTTTTTTTCAACAACATATTCCTCATCACATCAACAGTAAAAATGCATTTTTACCTTCAAAATGTGCACCAAACGTGGGCTTATATTAGAATTGTTTGTCAGTTAATATAAATTTTTACATCTCACCGTGCATCGGACGGGTGAAAGACTTGTTAAGGACAAAGAAAGCCCCATTTTGTAATTTTTTTAGAAAAAAAGGGGACTATTTAATTATTAAAATATTTTTTCTAAAAATTCATGATGACGTGAGAAAATTCTATGAACTTTATGTCAAATTTGTTCTATATCTACTATATGCATTTTTTTCTTTCTTTCTTTGATAGTGGGAAGATATAGTTTGACCCAAAATTATCTCAATGTATCTCTAATTTGAAAGACTTCACCCCCAAAAAACATGCTGCTTATACTAGTTTGAATATCATGGAAAGATATGTGGTCGTGCATGACTATTATTCTACGGCAGTTTTCAAGAATTTCCCGATGAGAACATCGAAAGTTGTGCATTCGTGACTGGTCTTACCAAGAAAATGGAAGAGAGGCACCATACCAAATGGCTAGTCAGGAAGAAGAAGGTTGAGCTGAGGAACTAACCAAATTTGAATCCAAGAGCAGCAATAACACCTGTTATCTAAGATAGAGGTCATGCAGAACAACCACCAAGCTTATCGACAAAATTTTGGGGGATATTATTCAAATCATTCTTTGGAGGAATCAAATGAGTGGACTGTTCTTTTCCATTATGGAACATCTTCTGGTGAGGGTCTCCTTGGAAATAAGTGTATGGCTTTTGAACTGGATTGTGCCAAACAAGCTACAACTGTGGAGATACGGGTGCTATGCTTTGGTAATTGGCACATGAAAGCTAATGCTGATGCTGACAAGATTGATAGAGCTGGAGCCAGAAGAAAGGAAGAGAAAAGGACTGCCGACTGAATATTACTGTGAGAGCTTGTATAATCCAGAGAGAAGGGCCTTCTTTAGCATTCCTTTCAATGAGATGGGTATTGGATCTGGTATCTGTCATTGTTGAAAATTAAAGGAAACTAATAATAAGAAGGAACTTGTCAAGGTGAATGCATCTAAGATCAGTTTTGTATACTGAGGTACAGAATATTGTCTTGATGACTTCGTCTACGTTAGCCCAACTTACATTTCTGCTTAAAGGGGGGAGGGAGGAAGGTTAAAAAGTAGTAAAAATGAAGGACTGAAAGCTTCATCATATGTCAACTGCTCGAGATCATTGTTTCCAAGGAACATTAAATAACTGAAATTGGTTTTACCTAGATTAAGGTCGAGGTATTTTAGACTTGGAAGATATTTCTCAAGAGAAGGCATACTCTTCAGATATTAGAGGTTACTTCTACTCTATGAAGCATAGATACTGTTATGGGGTAGCGGGTTCATATAGGTTAAATGTCGAAAAATAGCACTCCTCAGTCTCTTTATATTTTTCATATATGTGTGTTTGATTCACATTATTTTTAGAAGAATGTATTCTGGAATAGTAGATTGATGGAGAATTTGTGGTTAAAAAAGAAGGAAAAGTTATTGATGTGATGAAAAATATTATTATATTGAAGAATATGTAGTTGAAAATGAGTAGAAGAATGAGAATTAAAATTTTAATGTGTACCAAACATGGGCTAAATTTTTGACATTCATGGGGCACTTCCAAGGCACTTCTCCTGCACATGTTTGATTTGACATAATTCTATAAATTTATCCCGCGTTTGGCCCCTTTCTCATTCCTGTACTTTACTAATCTTATTTTTAATCACCCAATCTTTAATAAAATAATTTTATATGTAAATCGAAAAATTTTCCTTCTTTTTCAATCCTGCATTGTCCAAAAAAAACCATTATTTCAAACATTAAAATTAAAAGAAAGGGGGCCAAACTGGTTTTTATTTTTTTTAAAAAATAATAATAATAAAGTAGGCAACTATCTAATTATTTAAATATTTATGTAAAAATTCAAAATAATGTGAAAATTTTTCACGAACTTCATGTCAACTTGGTTATATATCCTACCATATCCTTTTTTTTTTTTTTT